CCGTTTATATATAGTTGGAAGGATAACGTGAATCTGACTCTCAAGTAGCGAACTCCCAAAATCTCCCGCTTATACACAGTTGGAAGGATAACGTGAATCTGACTCTCAAGTAGCGAACTCCCAAAATCTCGGGCTAAAAGTAAGTTTCAAGGCAAAGATATGGAATCGTAGTTGCCACAAAAAAGACGGGAAGAACGTGATGTTCAAATCTGATGAAAGGAACATTCAAGGTGGGTGCATTATTTAGAATGCGTCCAGGTTTCAGCCACTGAATTCAGGAAAAGTTTGCAGCTTTCAATGTTAATAGGCGAAGCAGGGTGCGCTAGAAAAGTGCCGCTAACAATATTCACCGATTGATCCTCAGTCAAATTCTGAAGCCCGTACCAGGGTGCGGCGCCCAATCTTTTGCTCATTTGATTCAATGAAAATATGAGTCCTGGAGGCCTACTAAGGTCTGAACGAATTCTATTACAAGGCACATAAAATGTGATTGCTTTCAATGGGCTGTTGATGTGCTTCTCATACTGCTAAGATCTTTGCACTTCAGAAACCCATCTACCAAGAAAATTGGAGCAGTATCAATGGCCGAGCGAGTTGGTCATAATAAGCGGAGATATCATGCCTTGATGCTGCCTTGGTCGTCCGTTGAACCCGCCTTGACAATAGAGGGACAAGAGAGGACCAAAGCAGCATTGAGGCCTGAGATTTCCGCCCATTTTGCCTCAAGAACCCTAAAAACAAAATCGCTCACTGGCAGTCACACCTTCCTGCGGTCTCTGTGCAACCCCTGGCTCACAAATTCCTTTATCACATCTCCCAGTAGTGGGTATCATCCAATGCAATGAAAAGAATACGAAAAACAACAAAAACACGGAAGAAAAACTCTTGAAAAGGAAAAGAAACTTTCCAAAACTAGGCGTCTGAATTTAGGGTTACGGTAGCGTGCATCCCTTAGGCTGCGTTTATACTTTGCGGCAGCGTAGCGTAGCGCTTCCAGCGTACGCCAGCGGCAGTGCCGGGGAGAGGATGCATATCGATCTAGCGTTCCCAGCGTCACCAGCGTAACGCTAGCGTACGCTAGCGTTACGCCAGCGTTTCTCCAGCGTTTCACCAGCGTTTTGCTAGCGTTTGCAGCGGCAGGGGAGTAGAGACTATGGGAGAGCTGGAGGGTACAAAACACATCGATTGCGCGTCTCTCACTCGCCCTCAGTCTCTACAATACACATCGATTGCGCGTCTCTCACTCGCCCTCAGTCTCTACAATACACATCGATTGCGCGTCTCTTACGGCCACATAGTCTCTACTCCCTGCCGCTGCAAACGCTAGCAAAACGCTGGTGAAACGCTGGCGTACGCTGGAAGCGCTACGCTACGCTGCCGCAAAGTATAAACGCAGCCTTATTGTTAGTCCATTGTGGTGCGTCGAGCTTTTGCACCACGAAATTGGGTCGCTCGTGATTTTTACGCGTTTTACCTTGCAAGATGGGTTGGAGTTGACTGTATGTGCTCCTTATGAAAAATGTAATAAAGAGAGCAGAAGTACTTATTGGTCAGCAAAAAGGACATGCAATTCCGATTAATGCCCGCCGCCCCAACAAAGAACAACTGAGCGGCCCTCCGTCAGAGGGCATCTAGCAAGTGGGCGGTCCAACTGGGCGTTAGAACTAGAACTTTCAGCGGCTGTAGCTCGCTCCTCGCTCGCTGTGGAGTCGCGAGAGTGGGATAGTCTCTAGCTTGGGGGCTGTACTACTTGCACAAGGAAGGACGACCATGTACTACTCGAGCGCGGTTGGCTGTCTTTAAACGGCAAAATCCGAACAATTTTATCATCCCGCGTCGCGTCGCGGTTTCCACCCTAGGGCTAGTTATTACCAGTCTGGTGCTTTTGATGGCAACTCATTTGTTGTTGTGTAAGCCTTTTTGCATTTATTAGAGCTGGGTATAATACCTGGTCAATGATATTTTTTTTCATCCTCCTTCCTGCTGATTAGCTTGGTACTGGGATGGGCTTGGCAATGTAACGGACAACTAAGAGAGATTCATGTGTCAAGAATTTGATTCATAACAGCATCTTTGCATCCCCAAGTAATTTTCGTGTCATGAGGTGGTCTTCCTTCATTTCAGCCTTATTCAATGAGCGATTTCCGATTCTGCTACGCTATAAGATGGGGAAAACGAGGGGGAAATAACAGCGAGTGCTCGATTAAACTTCTTTGGTATTCATCTTATTCAGACTTTAGATTTGTCACTGCTTGCAGCCCTTCTTGCCTACAAGTGCCGCCTGAAATGAGGGAGTAAGAAAAAGCAAGGCCCTCCACACAATAGTTTTGAATGTCCTGTGCGGCTTAGTCCGAGTTTTACCTCATATGTACGCAGGCCGAGTACAAGTCTTCACTTCACCTTTACGGTATACTTATTGAGGAGCAGGAACCCCTTTCGCCAATTCGCATCTGAATGGGATGATCAGATTCAACGTTGAGCGAAACTAGATAGAAGTCAGCCTGAATAAAAGTCGTTTATTTTCCACGCTTCGAGTATTATAGCGTAGCAGAATCAGAATCGCTCATCGAATGAGGCTGAAATGAAGGAAGGCTACCTCATGACACGAAAATTACTTGGGGATGCAAAGCTGCTGTTATGAATCAAATCCATGAATCTCTCTTAGTTGTCCGCTACATTGCCAAGCCCATCCCAGTACCAAGCAAATCAGCAGGAACGAGGATGAAGAAAATATATAGCATTGACCAGGTATTATACTCAGCTCTAATAAACGCAACACTAGGCTAATACAGAAACAAATGTGTTGCCATCGCAAGCACATCGTTGTCACTATGAAGATGTGGGGACGCGCCCAGAGTAGTTGAAAAGCCCCTAGGGTGGAAACCGCGACGCGACTGCGGGATGATAAAAATGTTCGGATTTTGCCGTTCAAGTTCTTCTTACCCTCAACTAGTGCCATTTTTTGTTGCTAAGGATCCTAATACCGTAAAACCAGTATTTTAGATGAAGAGATTCTCATGCTTATTACTTTTACCTGATAAGATTGCTCTTGTAACATTGCGCTAGGAACACCAATCATTTTGGTACAATATGCTAATATTCCTAAGATCCCAAATTTTGCCTGAGATCTCATCCACAATATCTGATGGTGGGATTCTTTTTCTCTTTCGATTTTTTTATCTCTCACTGAAAACCGTGTCAAGTGTAAAATTAGCACGTGCCTAGTAGATGTCAAAAAATTCGTGGAAGCTACAATCACCCTATATATATATATATATATATATATATATATATATATATATATATATATATATATATATATATATATATATATATATATATATATATATATATATATATATATATATATATATATATATATATATATATATATATATATATATATATATATATATATATATATATATATATATATATATATATATATATATATATAATACCAC